CTGTAATCAACCAGCCAGAAATTCTCAGTTCTCAAAGAGACACAGCAATGCATCAGATTGCATCACAGAGCCTGATAAAAACGCTTGTGGCTAGGAACATGTGCTGATTCTGTAATGACAGCTGAGCTGACATGAAAAAGGTCCACCTTAGTGTGCCGATAATTTTAAAAATTCTTTGCTTACTAATACATTGATTCTCTGAGTGGTTATCAGAGTCTACTATGGAAGAGGATGATTGGAAGTTGGTGAATGGATACAATGTGACAGTTGAATAGAAGAGTGGATTCCAGTGTTCTGTAGGGTGGCTCTAGCTAACAAAAAATTTCATATTTTAAAATAGCAAGAATGAAGTATTTTTAATGTTTTATCACTAATAATATACATTTAAGATAGTAGACATGCTAGGTACCCTAATTTCATCATTATACAATGTTGTACTTCAATAGAATCTTCAACTGAACCATGTAAATTTGTATCATTATTGTGTTTTTCAATTTAAAAATACAGTTTATTGTGAAAATCCAGTTAAGTAATTATATAAATTTGCTATGACGTGCCTTAGACTGATTGGCCAAAAATTATTAGTGTTTACAGAGAAGAGTCAAAATGTCTCTGATTGTCATTAAGCAATTAAAAATAACATACACAAAGAATGTAGCCTAGACATTTCCTGCATGTAGCCATAAAGTAATGTTTAGTTTTTAATTTGATTTTCAAAAGAAGATGTTTGAATATAAAATATGTCACAAGCAACACCATGTCTCTTTCATATATATTTTTTATTTTCAAAGATATTCACACTTAAAAGCTTTTCATTTCCATAACATAACTGTAATGATATGTCATTACTATTCTAAATTTTCTGATGTACTAAATAATGCTTAGAATCTTCATAATAACAAGGTGAATCCCTTACCTGTAGGATTATGTACATCCTTTTTAAAAAGTCTTTGGTTTTCCTTTGAATAATTATATATTTACTTGAAAATGTATATACTAAAATTTACTCTTTGTTTCAACTCTACTGAGCATAATTAAAAATTATGCATGTAAATTATCCAGCAATCTAAAATCCATATGATCAGTGGAAAAATCCATATTGTAATTTCCTGTCTGTGACTATAGTAGCAAAAGGTACATTTAGGAAATTGTTCATTTTGGGCAATAAAATCTTGAGGGTTGATGACTTGCTTTTCTTAGTTCCTAGTTCCCCTCCACCACTATGCATGGAACATCTTATTAGTCACACACAATTTTTACCTCTGAGCTTTTCCCACACCAATTACCCTCAACCAAACCCAACTGCTGAAGGTGCAGCAGTTTTAGTAGCTGCTCAGAGGTGAACACATACGCTCTCTAAAACTCTGGTGTTGAATCTCAGTGGCTGGTGTGACAGTATCAGGATGTGTTTCCTCTAGGAGGAAATTTGTTCATGAGGCTTCTCTCTGATTAAGTTATGTTGTGGCCTAGTTCTAATCAGTGTGCCTCCTTCCTGTTCTGTATGTGCTGTTTCAATAGGGATTAAAATTCCATTTCCAGTAAAGTCCTAAGTTGCAGCTCCTTGTAAATACATCCAACCCCCTTCTGCATATTTCTGCAAGGTGTGCCATTCCGGGAAAATGTTTAACCACAGAAAACATCAAAATGTACCAAGAATGTTATCTGAAATAGGTTGATAACTTTGTGGTTTTTAGCTACTCCACTCCCTTCTGCCTATCTGTAATAAAATGTGCTGTTCCTTAAGAAATGTTTAACTACAAGGAAATTACAGGAAATACCAAGAAGCCCAGGTGCTGTCAAACTGTTTCAAAGTTCACAACATTCCTGTGGTTTTTCAGCTTTAAAAACCCAACCCTTTAGCTGAAAGGCGCACCGTCTTCGATATTGCTTCCCAAGGGCTGTGTCACCAGGCCTGGCCTACAATAAAGCCTTTGCTCCCTAAATTTTTATTTCTTGCTTCCTTGAATTTTATTTCAGGGTCTGAGCTATCACATTTGGTAGCTCATCCGGGATGGAAGCAAGACCCCCGACTCAGTTCTGAGAACCTAAAAGTTAGTACTCTGGAGGATTTGTTTAGACCGCGGTCAATTCATACTTTGCGAGGGGACGACCTCAATTTGGGCAGCAGTGAACTCCCGAGGACAGAGTCAATTGGTTTTTTGGATGAATTTCATTCCTTTGTGACTCTGTCCTGGGTGAGAAACTGCTCCATTGGAAAGGGACTCCCTCAATTTGGGGAGCACAGACCTCCCGAAGACATAGTCAATTGGTTTTTTGGACAAAATTCGTTCGTTTTTGACTCTGCCCTGAGTGGGAAACCGCTCTGTTGGGAGGAGACACCCTCAATTTGGGGAGTGAGGAGCTCCTGAGGACAGAGTCAGTTGGTTTTTTGGGGGAAGAATCTCATCCATTTGTGACTCTGCCCCAGGAGGGGATCTGCTCCATTGGTCAATTTGTTAATTCCTCAGGATCCTAAAATTTGACCAATTCCAATATTTGACCAATTTTTGAGCAAAAGCCATTTTTGCTGCAGCTTATCTTGTCTTGTATGTCTGTCTGTGTGTCCATTTGGTCTATCTGTTCTCCTTTTGGTTACCCCAAATCTAACAGAACATTCTCTCCTAGGAACCCCTTCTACAAGCCCAAAATGGACAAAGGGATTTAGATATTTATGTTCAGTGTTTTTGTACTTTAGAATTGTCTGCCTGTTTGAATTTGTTACTAAGTTAAGAGCGTTGCCCATTTCGGTTGCAGGATCCATATGGCTTATTAGACTCAAGGTTCATAATAAAAAATTATTTCTGTTAGCTCACCAAACTGTGCACAAAACAACCTTTGTTTATGTCTTTAATGTTGTGGCACCTTGTTTAATGTTTTAGTCCTCAATTGATTACTTGCAACCTCAGCATGCCTTTTTACAAAAGTATTTTTCTTTCTGGTTTAAATGTAAACATATGTGCACATATATATGTATATTTATGGTTTTTAAAAATCGTCTCAAATTTACCAAGTAAAAACCAGGTCATACTGTAATTGAGCCAGTTAAAAGGTTACACTTTTTTAAAATACAGCATTTCAAGGTGGTGGAAACATATGAAATGATTCAATATATTTTAGACTACTAAAAATCACTGCAGAGGTTTTGTTGAAAGTTTTAATGTTTTCTGAAAAGTGAGAGGTAAGGTAATTGACTGGTAATAAGTAAAAATGAGGGACAAAGAAAGTGGTTTTGTCTTCAAATAAAAATGTCTCGCTGTGCCAGAATGTGAAAGAAGATAGGAAAAACTCAACTTGAGGGTATATAGTAGATTGTATAAAGCTCGAGGGGATGTGAATTTTATTTGTCTTGGTTTATAGTACTTGCAAATAACAGGTTTGAAAAGAAATAAATGTGTTCAGAATTTGACAGTACTAGGTCTGTTTTGGTAGATTTATTCTTAAGATTGGTGAGCCTTTACTGCAAAACGTTTCCATTAAAATGAGATTGTACTCTAAAAGGGGTAGGGCAGACTGAAGCCCTTTTTTGTTAAGTATGTAATTTCAACAAAACAATGGCCTGCCACATGGCACCCTGGGACAAAAACCGATGTGCCATCCAGATCAAGCCTACTCTCTGATCTGGAATGCCAGAACCATGTTTTCCTTTTATCCCACCCCGACTGGACAACCAGAGGTAAGGAGGTTCCCCCAATATTGCCAGTTGTTCTCTTTCCAACTCAGTCGGCCCTACACATTAGACAAACATTACAAAAGTTTGGGAGATTTGAGAAAATGCCCCTCAGCCAGTTAATAGAGATAGCACAAAAGGTCTTTGAGAACAGAAAGAATTTACAAAAAGCTACCAACAAGAAGATAACCAAGGTGTTAGAATTGCTCTATGAGTGAGAAACTAAAAAAAAATAAAAAAATAAAAATAAAAAATAAAAAACAAGTACGAGAGTTTCTGGGGCCAGTTAGATACTGTAGGCTATGGATTCTAAATTTTACTGAAATAGCTGGCCCCCTATATGACTCCCTTAAGGGAGAAACTCAAAATTCACTGAACTGGACTGATGAATGTGAATGGGCCTTCCAGCAGCTCGAGCAGACCTTGACGGAGGCCCCAGCCCTGGGACTCCCTGACATTACCAAGCCATTCACCTTGTTCATAGAAAAACTCAGGGGCATTGCCAAAGGAGTCCTAACCCAGGACATTGGCCCTTGGAAGAGGCCTATGGCCTACCTCTCCAAAAGGCTTGATCCAGTGGCAGGTGGATGGCCCCCTTGTCTAAGAATCCTAGCTGCTGTGGCAATGTTACTTAAAGAAGCTAAAAAACTCACTTTTGGACAGAAGATTTCTGTGGTGACCTCCCACAGTTTAGAGACTCTTATCAAAACCCCTCCCGAAAAGTGGCTCTTGAATGCCAGAATTCTACACTATCAGGCCCTGCTTCTAGACCCAGAGTCAGTGGTATTCAAGACCTCTTTAGTCTTAAACCCAGCTACCCTTATGCCTGACAACAACCCAGAGGTTCAGAGTGTGCCTCTCCACGAGTGTGCTGACATCCTCAAACTGCAGCAGAACCTATGGGCTGATCTCACCGACCAGCCTTTAGGAAATGCCGAGAACTATTTCACCGACCAGAGAAGATTCATCCAGGATGGCAAACGGTGGCTGGAGCAGCAGTGACCACCAAAAAGAGGTACTCTGGGTTAAGTAGTTAGAACCTGGCACTTCTACCCAAAGGGCAGAGCTCATTGCCTTGACTGTGGCACTGAAGTTAGCTATGGGAAAGAGGGTAAATATCTATACTGACAGTAGATATGCTTTTGCTACTGTACATGTACGTGGATCCATCTATCAAGAATGAGGTCTTAACCTCAGCCAGGACTAAGATTAAAAAAAAAAATGCTCCACACATCCTAGACTTGCTGGTAGCAATCTGGCTGCCTCAGCGGGTTGCTATTATTCATTGCAAGGCTCCTCAGACAGGAGATGACCCTATCACCCTAGGAAACAATTTGGCAGATCAGACCACTCAAAAAATAGCCACTACATCAGAGGGGCTGCTCCGGTGTTGGTTCCTCCCACTTTATCAGAACCGGTGTACACAAAGAAGGACCTGCAGTTAGCATCTCAACTTGGAGCTAAGTCCCTCAACCCAGGAGGTTGATACCAATTACCAGACAAGCGAGTGATGTTACCTGAGGCATTAGGACGTGAGCTGGTACACCAGGCTCACCAAACCACCAATTTAGGGGGAACTAAACTTGCTGAATTGTTCAGAACTTGGTTTTTCATTCCAAGACTCTCCAAACTGACTGCCTCTTTGGGCTCCAGATGCCCACCATGCTTGTTAGTCAACCTGACCAAAAGCTCTCCATTGCAGACCACCTGGCATTGAGGAACTGCCCCTGGAGAACACTTGGAAGTAGACTTTATGGACATGGTAAAGCCTGGTTTACAGGGACATCACTCTCTCTTGGTATTAGTAGACACCTTCACTGGCTGGGTAGAGGCTTTCCCTACTAAGTCCGAGTCAGTCATAGTGGTAGCCAGAAAGCTACTGCATGAGAACATACCTTGATTTGGCCTTCCCATTATCAATGGGGTCCGATACTGGCCTGGCTTTCATAGCCCAAGTCATCCAAAAGTTAGTCCAAGCATTAAAGATTAATTGGAAACTCCACTGTGCCTACTGGCCACAAAGCTCAGGGTAAGTAGAATGTATGAACCAAACTCTCAAGGACACTTTAGCTAAGCTGTCTTTAGAAATTGGCGATAATTGGGTGAGCCTTCTTCCCTTTGCTCTGCTGCGAGCTAGATGTACCCCATATGTTTCTGGAATTTCCCCCTTTGAGTGTATATTCAGAAGGCCCCCTCCACTGGTCCCGAGATTGTCAGAGGATAAATTAGTTGAAATAACTAACCTAGATCTCATTAAGTCCCTGTAGACACTCCAGCCTGTGTTGGCCTTGATCCACCAGCTGTTTAGACAAAAACACCGGGACCTGCCTTCAGAGCAGCCACTCAAAGTACCCATCGAGCCGGGAACTTCTGTCCTGGTGTGACGTCACCATCAAGACTCCCTCGAACCCCTCTGGGAAGGACCCTTCACTGTGGTGCTCAGTACCGCTACTGCCATCAAGGTAGCAGGAAAAACTGTGTGGATTCACCATACTCACATAAAGCCACTGGAAACAGCGGACAACGAGGGACATGCTCAGTGGACTATACAACAGACTGGAAACCCCTTGAAGTTAAAATTGACTAAACATAGTTAGATTATACCAGTCACGAACTGCTTTAGCTTGCTTGCTTTTGCTCCTTCTGTCCCATTGCTGGGGATTTTAATAACATTGATGCTGATCTTGCATGGAGGCTTTGGTCCCCCTGTAAGCAAAGAACAGTTGTTAAGATCTTTGTATGGGAGCCACTATGATTGTGGAGAGGGTTATATTAAAGAGAAAGACTCTGGCTGGGGGGGCGGGATTATACATACAATAGGAAAAAAGGATCATGATCCTTCCCACATAAATGATAAATTATATACATATAGTCTTCGGACAGATTGTGGGGACAAGTTAGCATTCCTTGTTGCTATACCCTCAGTTACAGGGGTTTGACTCAAATGTGGATGTGTAAGTTAAAGCCCCGCATGATGCCTAACAAAGGCAGCCAGCTAGGGCCATGCCCTCAGAATTGTTCTTATTATTCAAGAAATGCGTTCCTCCTGCTATGACTCTGTGCAAGAATGTATAAGCATAGATAGCAAAACTTACTTCACTACTGAGCTTATGAGGACACAGGCTAGAAGTGCTGGAGGTGATTGGTCCACCCATCCAACAGTAATAGGAAATTCAAAGTATGCTCAAGCCTCATGTCATGGCATGATTGGTGAATCAGTTTGCTGGAGCAGGGTGGCCCCAATACATGTGTCTGATGGGGGCGGCCCGCAAGCTAAGAACAGAGAACTCATGGTTGAGTTACAAGTCAAGCAGGTAATAAAAATAATGTTTACCCAGATATATTACCACCCCCTTGATGCTGCCTAAATCACAGGGAGTTGATCTGGATGCTCAAACTTCTGATATTCTAGAAGCAACTCATAAAGCCTTAGATGCTTCCAACCCAACTTTGGCTGAAGATTGCTGGTTATGCATGGTACAGGGCTCCCCCATGCCCCTTATGATCCCCATCAGTGTTTCTTTGATCATGCTAGAGAAACAAGATTACTTAAATTGTAGTGCAGGTCCCCCCTTTAGAGTGCAAACAGTAGGATTCAAGGATTCTTCCTGTCTCCAAGGAGGTTTTCATAATGATACCTCCAACACTGACATGGGATTCATTGCATTTACTAATTGTAGTCCCATAGTTAATTGGACTACCCCCTTTATCCGCCGAAGGACAAGTATTTATTTGTGGAGGAAATATGGCCTATACATTCCTCCCAACTAACTGGACAGGAAAATGTGTAACAGCTGTACTATTGCCTGATACAGAGATCCTACCCAGGGATGAGCCTGTCCCCATTCCTAGTTTAGATTACTTTACAGGCCACTCAAAGAGGGCAGTTCAACTTATTCCTTTATTGGTAGGCCTAGGAATATCAGGAGCCTTAGGTATGGGTCAGCAGGAGTAGGGGTTTCTGTCCAACTTTCCAACCAGATCGTTAGTGATGTGCAGGCATTATCTAGTACCGTTCAGGTCATTCAACACCAAATAGGCTTGTTGGCTGCAGTAGTTCTCCAAAACAGAAATGGACTAGACTTCCTAATGGCGAAACAAGGAGGGATCTGTGCGGCATTGCAGGCATGATGCTGCTTTTATGTAAATAAGCCCGGAATTGTCCGAGATAAAATCAAGAGACTACAGAAAGACCTAGTCAAAAAAAGAGGAGAGAGCTATGTAAAAACACTTTATGAAGTGTTTAAAATGAAATGCTGCCCTATCTCCTGCCCTTGCTTGCACCGTTGTTATGAGTACTGCTTTTGGTCACAGTAGGTGCTAGTACACTCAATAGAATAACTGCATATGTCAGGCAACAAATGCAAGGCATAAAGCTAATTATGTTACACCAGCATGCCTTTGTTCCCCCAAATACCTAAGTAATTGGCCAAAGATTTGGCCTCAGTCACAACATCAGAAGGGAATGTTGTGGCCTAGTTCTAACCAATGCGCCTACTTCCTGTTCTGTATGCGCCATTTCAATAGAGATTAAAATTCCATTTCCAGTAAAGACTTAAGTTTTAGCTCCTTGTAAATACATCCAACCCTCTTTTGCAAGTTTTGGCAAGGTGTGCTGTTCCTGGAAAATGTTTAACTACAAGGAGCATTGAAATGTACCAAGAATGTTATCTAAAATAGGTCTATAGCTTTGTGGTTTTTAGCTACCCCTCCCCCTTCTGCCTGTTGGTAATAAAATGTGCTGTTCCTTAAGAAACATTTAACTACAAGGAAATTATAGGAAATGCCAAGAAGTCCAGGTACTATCAAACTGTGTCAAAGTTCGAAACATTCCTGTGGTTTTAAAAACCCAACCCTTTAGCTTGTAAGGCATGCAGTCTTCCATATGGGCTCACAGAGGCTGCATCATCAGGCCTGGCCTAAAATAAAGCCTTTGCTCCCTAAATTTTAATTGCTTGCTTCCTTGGATTTTATTTCAGGGTATGAGCTATCACAGTTAAACCCCTTATTTGAGGGGCTTCGCATAGTACTTGGCCTTCTTGCTCTTCTGCTTTCCACAGCATGAGGATACCTCCTTCCTCCTTTCTGGAGGACGAAGAAATAAGACGCCATCTTGGAGGCAGAGGGCAGCCATTCCCACACAGAATCTGCCAGAGCAGGGGCCTTGGCGCTCCCATCCACCAGAATCCTGAGAAAATCCACGCCTGACTTTTGGGGTGAGACACATATGTTAACCTATGAAATTATAAATACTATGAATTTAAATACAAAACAGAAGGCTAGGTAAAAGTACAGGAAGTGACTGAATTTGCCAGGAGCATCCTGGAATACTGGAGAGGAAAAATGATAAACACAGTGTCTTGAAAAATAAAGAGGTAAATAAAGGGAGGGTAGTTTGAGACACTGGCATGTGCAGATGCAAGGTCTCAACAAACGGAGAACTGAGAAAGTTATAAATAACTACCTCCTGAAAGAATGAAGCCTTATTTCAACTTTGCAGGCAACACAAAGATAATTTATCTGAAATGCAAGATATGATTAATTTGGAAGGAAAAAGGTACTTCTTGATTGTGAGAGTAAACCTCAGGAAGCCCAGATTTGGACAGGAAATGTGAAAGATGGAAAATCCTGAGAGGAGATGGACCCATGGGCAAAAATCGCTCAGCTGTGAGGAATTTAGGGAACATGAGCAAGGTAGGCTCTCACTCACTTCCTTTATCACACATGACTTCATAAATGCTGTTGTGTGAAATAATATTAATTATAGTTACCATAGTTACAACCCCCAAATATTTAAGGTACTGGGAATATTTCAACTGAACTTTCCACAGTACAGTCTTCTCTCTTCCCTTAGTAATCCCAAAGGCTGACTCTAAATTTACCTCCTTTTTCCAGGAAAGTGAGGCACAGAGAGAGTGGGAGAACTGTGCAGACTGTGCAGGCATCAGAATCAGAGCTCAGGGCTGGGTACACACCCCTGAGAGGGCCCTGTGTGTTGCTTAATCAACTGTTCAGTATCATTGCATAAAACATTAAATATCTGTATTAACTTTTGTGGTATCTTGTTTGATGTCATCATTACTTTCCTGGATTTGTGTTTCTTTAGCAAGGTGGAGCAAAGAGAACTAAAATCAATTGAAAATCACATTGTCTGCAAATGGATAGCTTGGGACTCTGCTGAGATAGATGTCTCTCCTTCACAATGTGGAAGCAAACTGGACTCTTGGCAGAAATCCTGCAGGTAGGCAATCTATCTGTGTCTGTGACTTGATTCCTTTGGCACTGTCTAGTCATGAAGGAAAAGGGCCAGAGTGAGTCTTGTCAGAACTCTCCATTCCAGAGTCAGGGTGGGATACTTTGGAGTATCAGGTTAACCTCGTGGACATTTTGTTCTCACACACAATACTTCTGCATTTGCCAGCTTTTATACAGCATCATAGGGCAAAGTTCTTAAATATCACTATGTTTCTGGAGACTGACTTGATTAAAATAAGATTTTCATATATTTCGTGGATTTTCTAGAAGGTGCAAGTTAGATACTATTTTAGTGACTTGAATTTATATCACTTCAAGTTTCTTTTTTTAAACTAATGCAAGTATACGGGTTTATAATGCAGAAGAATGATCCTCATTTGGAGAATTAGTGCATGTATAAAACATATCTGGGTCATTTTCAGTCTTTCCCACCTTCCTCCCGTCCCTTTTCCAATTTCCAAGAGCCTACCTTCTCACTGCAAAAAGTTACTTTTCTATTTAAGCTGTTGCTTATCATCCATTATATTTCCCCACAGAGGTCTGAATAAAATTTAGTAGAAATTATGATATAAAATATTTTCAGGCAGAAGGTATAAACACTGGATCAAAGTTTTTGTATTTTTCCTGCAGGAATCATTTTGATTTTCAAGAAAAATCTTTAATAGGGACAAAACATACTATATCATATAAGCCTGAGCTTTATAAATAAGGTAAGGGTTTTTTTTTCCAAAAAGGAAGGTTACTCCTTTATCTGCAAGGTTGAACTTCCCAGATTATAAAGGCATTAAAGCTTGGTTATAAAAATGAGCTTAGAGAAAATTTCCTATTCTGATTCTGTGTGGGGCCACTTCACAGTAAGGACAGCAGAGTACTTATTTGGAAAGTAGCCTCATAGAGTTTTGCACTGATCTGATCTTGAGAAAAAACAAAAGCTTTTAGGATAGCTTATTGCGTTAGAACTAAACTTGAGTGGTCGATTATTTACCATGATGCAAAAAAAATATTATATGATAATTTAAAAACTTAAATTTAGATTGTACCTCATCACAAGCTCAAAACAATGGTCTTAGGGAGTCATTTCATTTTCTCTATTCTTTATGGTTTGTACATAACTTCCATCATCTGAACTCGGTTATGGTACCCTGCGGTGAAGGCCTTGTTTTTATATAAATGTATGTATGTATGTAAGAAACTTGTTACTAACATCAAAATGTCTTATCTCAGGGAAAACATTGCTTTTGTAATGAGAGCATCAGCAGATTTGATTCCTCATTGTTCTTCCTTACTGAAAGATGTGGGCATAGTTGAATGCCAAGAATGTACCTAATATCTGTTTGGATGAGTAGAACACAATCCTTTATTTTCTAACAAAAGAGCATTCAACAACACGGCTAATTTAGCTTCTTTCTGTAGTCCCAGGTCTAAAAACTTGGCCAATTTTTAACACTTTAAGTAAATGAAAGACTAAAATCATTCTATCTCTTAAACCGACTTATGCCAAGGAGAATAACACAAGTAGAAAGCAGCCAAATACAAGTATAATTATACATTCCATGTTCTTTGTGTTTTGGGATTGGAATGAGACTGGTCCCGATTCACTGAGGGAATCTTATAGTTCTAAGGCCCTGTTTATAGCCTGCTATTTGCAGTTCCATTTGCAGAGGGAATTAATCTTGCTAATAGTTTAATTTTTAGTTTATGTGTATTACCTACTAATCAGTAACTGACAACAGTGATTAGAAACTCTTTGTCTATCTGTAACTTCATTCATGTTCTTTCAGAACAGTTCTTTCACATTTAAAAATTTCCAGCAGTAGGATATAACTCTCTATCTATTTAACATTTAGAGAGTTTGGGTAACAATATACAAAATCAAACATTGATGGAAAAAGGATACATTGTCTTATACTCTATAGGTTAAAAAATGTTATGCTTCAAATGCAATGAATGAGGGGCCAATTTATAAATATTTGTTTCCTAGAATTTATCTTCACTAGTTGCAATATGGATTTACCTAGATTGAGTGCTCCACTGCATTCCTGTGTGAAGAAACTGGATGAATATTTTCATACTGCTTGCAGTGGATTAATTGTCAGTTTCAGTGGGAATGCCCAGGTGAACTGAGTCAGTGTGGTTGTGGGCATGGAAGGCTGAGAATTGTTGTGAATGTCATAAAAATAGAATGGGCAGGGGAGATTGCATGCTGCTGATTCTCCTGGAGAAGTTTACCACCACTGGTTTTTCTGATAAGAACTCAGCTGTTCTCAGTGTCAGAGGAGCTCTGATCTTTGCTTTGAGTCTCACTTCCCAGCTCCAGTGTACAGTCCTTAGTCTGCCAGATCCTTGGCCCCAACACTACAGACATTTTAGCTTCCACCTCTGGCCTGTGGGCCTTCCAAGTGCAGATCATTTATATAAACTTGTATGAGGCATTGCCATGGACTGTAGGCCTCAGGCTAGTCTTCTGCAGCACATTGCCTTGGGATTCAGGACCTTGGCTGGATTCTTCAGAATTCTAGCACACTCATAAATCTCTTGCATTTTTCTGCATTCCATAATGCCTGTTAGGGTCCCCAATCTTTTCTCCGCAGAATAAAGTTAAAAAGACTTGACAACTAATACAAGCAAGGGAAGGTTGCGATGCCATGCTGGGTAACAAAAAGGAGCATGAGACCCAGAAAATTCTGTTCTGTACCCAGATGTAAAACCCATCCCTCCACAAATAGAAACCTAGAAATTTTTATTTTGGAGAGGTTGAGTGATTAAATTTTAAAAAGTTAATAACATGTCAGTGAAACAATTGAAGCCCCTCACACTCACACCAGGAAAAGCCAGGGACCTGTGCATCAGTGTATCACTTAGAGTTCACTAGAGAAACAGGTTTAGTAGAAGGTAGGATTGCAGTGGCCACCTGTGGAATCAGGTGTGGAAGAGAGCAAAGGTCTGTCTGAGAGGTGCAGATCCAGAGGATCTAGTCAAAGATGGAAGACCTGTAGCTCACCAGAGTCCTGCTGGCATGTGTATGGGGAAGTCCAAGGGTCAGTACTGGAAGGATGAAGAGTCTGAGTTAAAAGGCTGAAGGAAGAAGTCCAAAGGTGATGGTTAAGGCTAACATTCCTTCAAAGAAACCCAACCCAAGCGTGACTTCTTCCTTCCCCTTTTGAGTCTATGCAAGCTGGAAGCCTATTGGTTGGTGCCACATGCATCCAGGTTGAGGGTGGGTCTCCCCCTGCAGTCATTCCAGCATTCTGCCACACTCAGAAGTGTGCTTAGCCAATCAGCCATGCATTCCTGTGTATGCAAGCTGATGCAATATTAAACTACCACAACCTGTTTGTCTGGCTGTAAATGCTATAATTCCTTCTCCCATATACTAAACTTGTAATCATCTTAACTATGGTTAGACTCTACCACCAGATGTTTAGGGAACACCTCACACTAGGAGGTCCCAAATAAATAAATAAATAAATAAATAAATAAAATAAAAGGAGAAGAGTTAAGGAAGGAAACGACTTATGTAGGAAGCAGTAAAGCAAATTTCAGATCATCAGAGGAAAACAATTGCTGGGCCATATGATAGTCCTATTTTAATTTTTAAAAATCTTTTTGAGACAGAGTTTCACTATACAGTTCAGGCTGTCCTTGAACTAATTTTATACCCCAGGTTGGCCTCAAATTTGCAGCAGCCCTCCTGCATCAGCCTCCTGAGTGCTAGGATTACACATACACACCACTATGCCCTGCCTGGTTTTAAATTTTTGAGGGAACCTTCCTGTTGTTTTCCAACATTGCTACACCATCTTCTATTCGGGAGTGTACAGGGTTGCAGTTTCTCCACATCCTCAGCAACACTTTTTCTTTTGATAATAAGTATCCTAACAGGTATGAAGTGATACTTCATTGTCCTTTCTCTGACCCTTATTGATGTATATCTTTTCATATGCATACATCTTTGAAAATCTCCTTAACTAAAAGGGAAAACATGGTTGAAAATTTTGTGAGAGAAATATCTTAAATTGACAGGAAAAAGACATTCATGTGTACTGTTTCAAAAACAAGGATTTCATGGAGCATATTGGAAGTGAAAGTTGAAAATATTTTCTGGAAAACAAGAAAACTTAGCAAAAAGATGGTAAAGTTCAGAATAGGCAAAAAATGGAAAAGTGGGCTCAGGAAGTGCTGAATTAAATTAATGCACATTTCTGAAAGAGGAAAATTGAATAAGACAAACGAAATAGGAAGAAATACTAAAAGAAAGAATTAGAACAGTGGTGGTAAGTTTCTAGAATGCATGCTGTAGCAGTTCAGTTGTTTTCTGTCACTGAAACCAAGAATTCCCAGAATTGCATGCAACATAGTTCTTGCTGATGGAGGGCATTAGTTGCTCCACAAACGCAAATGTGAGATGTCCACAACTATACAAAGGCAAAAATATGCACATCACAGACTCCTACTGAGGGAAAAAGATCCTAGGCAATTATAGAGAGAACCCCATAGTTCATGTACAAAGCAATTAGAATCAAAATGGCCTTAGACACTGGCTAGGAAGCAGAATTAATGGCTGCAAAATGCTAAGGAAAAACTTATGCCAATGTCCAATTCTTGTGAACGGTGAGGATTGATTTTAGACACATATTTGACTTTCACAAACCTTAAAGTCAATAAACAAACCAAAAATGTTATCTTTCTTAACCTTTCTTTGGAAACTACTGGAGGACATGTTTAAGGAAACTGAAGAATTGAAGAAACAGAGGCTGCAACATAGGATAAAATCAAAGAGTGATCTCAGGTCATGCTAGGCACCAGCTGAGAAAGGTGGAGGACTCCAACAAAGGTACAGTATTACTTGCTGTACTTACACCGGTGTGCAGAGATCTAGTGCCCAAAGCACAACCTAAAACCCACTTCTTTATCAGAGTGCCAACACTGCAGTTAAACCTGAATACAGTTTTAGTTTAGAAAAAACAACTCATAGGTTGACATCAT